TCTTTCGGAGCCCAAATGTACCACATGTGCCGCGAAAAAAGGCATATGGGAAAACAAAAATAGCAAGTGAGTCAGAGCTGCGGTCATCTCTAGAATCTTTGGACGAAAATCTATCTCGAAGTAAAGTCTTTGGAAAAATCTTGAAATAATGATGGGAATGAGTAAGCATGAGAATTAACATGCGTGAAAGTGATAAAATCGAGAATTGTATAGGAAAGGGTTCGAATAAGAACGACTGACCTTTGGATCAACAGTGGTGAGCTGATTCCGCTCGAGATGTAGCGCCTTCAATGAATCCTTTTGATTGGCAAATGTGTCGGGTGGCAGCGATGTCAGATTGCATTTTGAGATGTCCAAAGTCTGAAATTTGGTTGTCGGAGATGTCAAGTAATGTCAGAGTAATGGATGATATAGTAGTAACTGCGTTTTGAGAGGCGGAATTGTTGGAGACGGGTTGTTTCGGGCGGAATCAAACATTTCGATGTGATATTCTCAAAGATTTCTTTCCTTATTTTTATGCCGTTATTTCTTACGCATGTGCAGATCAGAACATCTAGTGCGCTTTTTCAAAATAAAGTAATCTGTTACCAATCTGAAACGTCAGTAGAAACACTAGTAATGTAAACTCAAAAATCAATCACTGCAAAATTAGGCCTCCGGGGCTTTGTGAGATTTCCAAGATCTCATTATTCTGAAGGAGAAACGAATTGAACTGTTTTTTCTATGATCTTAATGGATTCTTGGTTTTCTTTGAACACTAATTATGATCTGAAATTTGAGAAGAGTTAAGAGTTACCACAGCGACATTTGTCAAGCTTTGTTGCTTTTTGCTTGCGCTGAGAGAGCTAATATATTCATCTTACGGATATGACATTCATCTTCCTTTTTCTTTACTCGAGAGGCGCTATCAGAAAATACGGAGCTTAAGATAGAGCTATATCAGGCTTGGTTGGTAGCAATATAGTAACGAAGATGGCTATATTGCATGTGAAATGTTGGCATACCTCCAACTTAGGATAATCTTTCAATTGCTCTGAGTTTATGGTCGTAAGAGGACACTCGCTCAAGTAGAGGGATTTGAGGTTCTTGAGACCTGTTGTGGGGACCTGAAAAATGATAGGAGGGCTTTTCTTACAATTAGAGAAATAATGAAACAAACTTACTGCGTTGAGCGGATTATGCCTTAGGTTCAGCGAAGTGAGCTTTTCAGCCAGGGGAGAGAACATATCTTCAGTTACATTTTTGATTTCATTCCAACCAAGATCGATCTCCTCAAGGTTGTTGAGTCCAGCCCAAAGATCTTTCTCGAGGTACCTAAGTAAAAGCTTGTTGGAGTAATATTTCTTGAGCATTTTCGAGTTTTTATCGGACGTAAACTAGTCCAAGAAATTGGAAGAGGAAGATTAGGAATTTGTGAATCGCATATTGCTCATTAAAATATATAGGTAAAATATGTGTCTTCTGCTGGTGCTAGATTTATTTTTCCTGCACATGTTGGCTCACTTGATTTGTACCAATTATACGTTTTTTGCAATTTTTTTGGGTATATCTATCTTTTCTCCTTTCGAACTCCAAAAACTATATACTCTTGCTTCTTATTTTTCCCACACCAACCCTTAGCGCTTTTCCGAAAGCATTATATCCGCTGCCCTCTAAGAACCACATTTGTATTGAATTTTCACACTGGGACCCAAACTTGGTTTTGTTGATGTCATTATGCAAATTCAAATGTCAACATCGAACTTACCTTATATAATTTCCAGCCAATGAAAGTCGATTTAGAGAAGAGAGTCCATCGAAAGCATAAGCGGAAATGTTTTCGATCAAATTTACGCGAAGATCGAGCTAAAAAGTATACAGTTTTTTTTTCATTTTTACCAAATCAACCTAGGTGGATTTGTGCGTCTTCTTTCGCATTTCTACCCTCTTTCGAGGAATTACAATGAAGAGAGTAAACAGGATCTGGACTCGCCCATCTCGCTACTTTCATTTGGAATCTTTTGTAAATCTCGCGCCGCTACCCTGGGGTGAACGCTGTTATTCACGGATCGAACGTCAACATTCCATTCCAGTTATGCAAGCGCACTCGCTACGAAAACTTCGAGTCCACGCGCTCATTGGAATTTCGTAGGAGTTGAAAGCTTCTTATTGAATCATCGCTGAGGAGGGGGGGGGCTTAGATTACCATTAGTTGGTGGGAG